GCCTCCTCCCCAGCCGCCACAGCCAATACCTATTCCACCCCAGGGGCCCCAGCCTCCTCCCCAGCCTCCGCACTGCTCCTTCTTGGATCCACTCGGGGTGTTCGCAGCACCAGCAGCCGGGGCCACCTCGGCCGGCTTGTCCACCGAGCGCAGGGCAGGCTGGTCGGCAGCAGAAACGCCCGCGACAGCGACGGCAGCGACGACGGCGAGTGCAGCGAGCTTCATGGTCTTGACGATGCGCTTGTCCTCGTCCAGGCAAGTTGCGTTGTGGACGATTGGAGACCGAGCTGCAGGTATTGATCTACCACTTGGTCGACTTTCTTGGAGATCTCTCATGGATCCACTTCCATCGTAGTTGCCAGTCAATCCGCTTCAACGTGAAGCTTTCAGCTAGTTAATAAATTTCCATTTACTTGCTCAGTAATATCGTCCGTAGCGAGCTCTGCGTAGTAAACCGTTATTTCCTGCTGACGGATTTCCCTACCTCCTGTAGTGACGTCAAATTGAGTATCTCAGTTTTCCCAACGGCAGCACGATGCTCTTCTTTTGAACGAGTTGGATCGATGGCGCTAAAATAGGAATGTAGGTACTCGTCAGATTAAACTGGCATCTCGTCTACGCGTGTCTTGTAACAAATTCAAATTCAAAATACGGAACATCAGCGGAATTATCTCTTCAGGTCGAGGGATGTTAAAGAGGACTTGAAGCTTTCCAAGGTCTCTTCAGCTTCGATCGACTTCAAATGAGCTTACCAAAACGGATGGGTTGGAAATATGAACAAAAAAGTGAATAATGACTACAAAGCAAGGATTGAAATGCATGGGACATCAGTCATTAGCTCAGTGTTCTGAAAGCAAACGCATCGGTTGGCGACAAATGCACACTAGTGCAAACGGAATCACAGCTAGCGGACTTGTCAACAACAAATTGTTTGTGTTAACTGGTTGTTGTAGAACTCATGCCGATAATAACCCGAATAGTACTGTAGCAAGCGCTAAACTTTTCGAGCACTTCAGTGTTCTGGAGAATGGATCTAAGCTTGAGAGTCGGGAAAGCTTCACCTGGTCGATGCTTGTTGTCACCGTTTACCATCCCCATCCCCAGCCACCCCACGGACGACCCCAGCCTCCGCCCCAGCCTCCTCCCCAGCCGCCACAGCCAATACCCATTCCACCCCAGGGGCCCCAGCCTCCTCCCCAGCCTCCGCACTGCTCCTTCTTGGATCCACTCGGGGTGTTCGCAGCACCAGCAGCCGGGGCCACCTCGGCCGGCTTGTCCACCGAGCGCAGGGCAGGCTGGTCGGCAGCAGAAACGCCCGCGACAGCGACGGCAGCGACGACGGCGAGAGCAGCGAGCTTCATGGTCTTGACGATGCGCTTGTCCTCGTCCAGGCAAGTTGCGTTGTGGACGATTGGAGACCGAGCTGCAGGTATTGATCTACCACTTGGTCGACTTTCTTGGAGATCTCTCATGGATCCACTTCCATCGTAGTTGCCAGTCAATCCGCTTCAACGTGAAGCTTTCAGCTAGTTAATAAATTTCCATTTACTTGCTCAGTAATATCGTCCGTAGCGAGCTCTGCGTAGTAAACCGTTATTTCCTGCTGACGGATTTCCCTACCTCCTGTAGTGACGTCAAATTGAGTATCTCAGTTTTCCCAACGGCAGCACGATGCTCTTCTTTTGAACGAGTTGGATCGATGGCGCTAAAATAGGAATGTAGGTACTCGTCAGATTAAACTGGCATCTCGTCTACGCGTGTCTTGTAACAAATTCAAATTCAAAATACGGAACATCAGCGGAATTATCTCTTCAGGTCGAGGGATGTTAAAGAGGACTTGAAGCTTTCCCAGGTCTCTTCAGCTTCGATCGACTTCAAATGAGCTTACCAAAACGGATGGGTTGGAAATATGAACAAAAAAGTGAATAATGACTACAAAGCAAGGATTGAAATGCATGGGACATCTGTCATTAGCTCAGTGTTCTGAAAGCAAACGCATCGGTTGGCGACAAATGCACACTAGTGCAAACGGAATCACAGCTAGCGGACTTGTCAACAACAAATTGTTTGTGTTAACTGGTTGTTGTAGAACTCATGCCGATAATAACCCGAATAGTACTGTAGCAAGCGCTAAACTTTTCGAGCACTTCAGTGTTCTGGAGAATGGATCTAAGCTTGAGAGTCGGGAAAGCTTCACCTGGTCGATGCTTGTTGTCACCGTTTACCATCCCCATCCCCAGCCACCCCACGGACGACCCCAGCCTCCGCCCCAGCCTCCTCCCCAGCCGCCACAGCCAATACCTATTCCACCCCAGGGGCCCCAGCCTCCTCCCCAGCCTCCGCACTGCTCCTTCTTGGATCCACTCGGGGTGTTCGCAGCACCAGCAGCCGGGGCCACCTCGGCCGGCTTGTCCACCGAGCGCAGGGCAGGCTGGTCGGCAGCAGAAACGCCCGCGACAGCGACGGCAGCGACGACGGCGAGTGCAGCGAGCTTCATGGTCTTGACGATGCGCTTGTCCTCGTCCAGGCAAGTTGCGTTGTGGACGATTGGAGACCGAGCTGCAGGTATTGATCTACCACTTGGTCGACTTTCTTGGAGATCTCTCATGGATCCACTTCCATCGTAGTTGCCAGTCAATCCGCTTCAACGTGAAGCTTTCAGCTAGTTAATAATTTCCATTTACTTGCTCAGTAATATCGTCCGTAGCGAGCTCTGCGTAGTAAACCGTTATTTCCTGC